GTATTTATTATATAATCACAGTTGATCTTTATTATTTTCAGAGTCTGTATTCCCAGATTCACCTAACTACTCATATCTATTTGTAAACCCAAATCAATACCCATGTTACATTTATACTCACACCCAAAACCATGAAGCAGCTGAGTCTGCAGAAGCACACATTCCCAGCTGAGGTTGAACAAGGAGACACTGTCTTCTTGTTTCAGTTCTCATGTATTGTCACCATGTGTTCTCTTTGTGGTCAAATGAGTGCCACTTTAGGGGGGCATTTATTTATTTTTGCTTTCTGCCAGTGGGTTTGGTATTTGAAATGTTCCCCACGTGTAATGCTCAAATGCTGTTTAGTATCACTTACTGCAAGAGACTGTGATGTGCCTTAGGGAGAAAATACAGGTGTTAGATAAATTTCATTCTGGCATGAGTTACAGTGCTATTGGCCAAAAGTTCAAGGAAGTTGACAAAAATGTTGTAACAAAAGGCTCATAAGAACCTGAACCTGATTTTCCCTAGGAGAAATGTTACAATATTTGCAAATTCTGTGTTTGTGGCAACATTATAGAATGTGGCTGCTGCCACAAATGATGAGAACTGACTGTAGTTTTTCATGTCATTGACATTTAAGAAATGCTTAGCAAGTAATTGGCTTCACCTAATTTTTTAAATCCTTTTACAAAAGCACTTAGTCCTTTGTAGAGTAATAGCTAATCTGTAGTGATCTAAAAGAAGAGGCTCAGATTGTGAGGTCTCCCTGGAGAATATACTGCCACACCTCTCTACACGTCCACATGATTGAAACAGTATCAAAGTTGTCCTGGGGCTGTAGAGGGGGTAGAGGGGCCAGAAACCCATTCTGCGACTTTGTGCCTGGCCTCTTTCTGACAGTCGTTTTTTCTACCACCTCAAAAGAACAGTTTCTTATGTTTATTTTTAAAAATCAACTTAAGGGGCGCCTGGGTGGCTCAGTCAGTTAAGTGTCCGACTTTGGCTCAGGTCATGATCTTGTGCTGCATGAGTTTGAGCCCCACATGAGGCTCTGTGCTGAAAGCTCAGAGCCCGGAGCCTGCTTCAGATTCTGTGTCTTCCTCTCTCTCTCTGCCCCTCCCCTGTTCACGCTCTGTCTCTCTCAGAAATAAATAAAACATTAAAAAAATAATTTATTTTTCTGCTCAAATGAAAAAGATTAAAAATATAAACTCAACTTTTTATACAATAATTCATTAAAGGATGAGTGTTCCGATGGAGAGATTTCTCTCTCTCTCTCTCAAAAATAAAGATTTAAAAAATTTTTAAATTAATTTAAATATTCATGAAAGTATTTTATGCACATTTGTTTTCCAAATAGGCTTGCAATTAAAACAATAGACTCTTCCCTCCCCAACCTGAAGAAACTGGAGGGAGTTCCTATTCCCTCCAGACTCCCCTATTCATCACTTTTCTTTGTCCTTTCTTTTCTGGAATTTACCTCCCTGTTTTTCAGCAATTATGCTTAAGTAGCAATCCTTTAATTCCTTGGTTTTCATTCACCAGTTTTCAGTATCACCTGCTGATTTATTTTGAGGTCAGGAGTTAGCACCCTTGTATACTTCCATCCCCACTCCCATCATCTTCCTTTTCTCCTCTTACTCTGCCTTCTCCTCCTCCTCATTTTCATTGTGATCTTTCTTCCTCCCTTCCTCTCTGAGGTGTAATTAATTAACGTGAAATGCACAAATCCTCAGTGTTTACTTCTATGGTTGCATTATTTCACTAGGGCAGCCACAGCCAAGACCGCAGAGGAGGAAACCTGAATGAACCACACATAGTTGTTTTCTCACAGTTCTAGGGGCTGGGAGTCCGAGATCAAGGTGCCAGCACGCTTGTTTCTTCTAAGTCCTCTTTCCTCGGTTTGTAAATGGCTGCCTTCCTCCACTGTCTTCACATGGTCTCATTCTATGTCTCCGTATCTACTTTTCTTAGAATGACACCAGTCAAATTGCATTAGGTCCCATACGCATGACCTCATTTACCTTTTGATTTCTTCAAGCCCCCTACCTCCAAAAACACTCACGTTCTTTTTTTTTAAATTTTTAAATGTTTATTTATTTTTGAGAGGGGGGAGAGGCAGAGAGAGAGGGAGACACAGAATTCAAAGCAGGCTCCAGGATCTGAGCTGTCAGCACAGAGTCTGACGTGGGGCTCGAACTCACAAACCATGAGATCATGACCTGAGCTGAAGTCAGATGCTTAACTGACTGAGCCACCCAGGAGCCCCAAAAACACTCACATTCTGAGTTACTGGAAGTTAGTATTTCAGCCTGTGAATTTGGAGCAGGGGCACTATTCAGCCCATAACAATACATTTTGACAGTTGTATCTACCTATGTGACAAATGCAAAATAAAGATGCAGAATGTTTCCATCACACAAAAAAAGTCTCCTTCTTTCCATAGCCAATCAATTCCCCAGTACAACTGCAGTAGGCAACTGCAAGTCTGCTTTCTTTTACTATAAATTCATTTTGCCTATTCTTGGACTTCATACAAATGGAATTATATAGTATGTGCTCTTTTGGATTTGGGTCTCATCATGTCTAATTTTAAATTTTTTCAAATTTTCATTACAGTATTCCTGAGAATTTTATTTTGGTTTTCTCTTTGGGAATCTCTGTTTCTTGGATTTCAAATCTTTTTCTCTCCGTTTGCACTCTTATTTTCATGAAACATACCCTCATTAGACTCCTTCTAAAGTGAATATGGATAGCTATCTTTGAAACCATGTATTTCTGAAATATCCCTATACTTATATAAGCATATATATATTCTTATACTTGTGTTATTTTTCCTTATGATTGATAACTTAGAATTCTAGGTTTAAAATCCTTTAGGATTAGAATTTTATAAGTACTCTTCTATTGTTTTCTAACTTTAAATGTTGTTGAGAAATCGTTCTCCTTACTGTTTTTACTTTTTATGTCACCTGCTTTCTTTCCTCCATTTTGGAAGCTTTTGTATCCTCTCTCCTCCATGAGGTTCTAGTATTTCACAGTAATGTGCCTTAATGTAGTTCTTGTTCATGTATGATATCAGCTATTCCATAATCCCTTTCAGGCTAAAGTCTCAAATCTTCCAGTCCCGCAAGGTTTTTGTTGCAGGAAAGGGTTCTGGTTTTTATTTTTGTTCTTTGCTAATTTTCTGAGTTCTATTTTTTTTTTCACTATTTATCTAATTGGTTGGATATTGGAAATTATAGACCAAACTTCTCATTTCTTATCTTTTCTCTCCAAATCTATGATCATCTTTTTTTTCTCCCCCAATTTGGGATTTTAAAAGACTTTAAGAGATTTTTTAATACATCATCCAGATAATTTATTGAATATTTAACTGGTGCAACCAAATTATAAATGTCATAGTATTTTAAAAGAATCTTTTATTTTTCCTATATTTTTATTTCTTTCACAGATATAATATCTTCTCTTAGATTACCTGGATATTAATGACAGTTTTGGAGATCCTTTTTCTGCTCTAAGCATTAATATTGTTTCCTGCAAGGGCCATTATGGGTTTTGTTAAGTCTAATTATTTATTTTGATAGAGGGAAAGAGAGAGAGTGCACAAGCAGGGAGGAACAGAGAGAGAGGGAGAGAGAGAATCCCAAGCAATTTCCAGGGCTTGATCTCACAAACCATGAGATCAAGACCTGAGCCAAAATCAAGAGCTGGACACTTAACCAACTGAGCCATCCAGATGCCCTAGAGCCGTTATGTTCTTATGTATTTTGTCCTCTTTTATACTAAAAGCTTTAAAAAAAAAAAAAAAGTCTGGTAGTCTTAAATTGTTGGTTTACATTAAAATGATATATGTACCAAAAAGCTGATTTCAAAGTGCAAATTCCAGTGCATGAGTGAGGGCTATTAAGTGGGAGCCTCATTATTGAGGGAGTTAATCAGAAATCTGGCTACTGTTTTGTCTAGAGCCAAACTTATAATTTTCTCTAGAGAATTATTACTTGATATTCTGCCTGAGCAATATACATCTAATTTTCACTGTACTGAATGCAGATGAAGAAAGAATGCTTGATTATCTTTCACTTAATAACCCTTGCCCTCACCTGTACTCTCTTCTGTGCTTGCTATCTCTGAATTTGTGGATTCTGTTTCAGTATCCCTAGGGGATAAAACTCCCAGCTACTCCAAGGGCACTGAGGGTTAGTAGATTGATTTTCCTAGATGTGGATATGACTTTTAATTCATCTTTTATTTCAGCACCATGCTTTAAGTCTTGTCTTTCAAGATGTTTAGGAAGCAACAATTTCTTTTTTTTTTTTTTATTTTTTAATGTTTTTTAAATTTATTTCTGAGAGAGAGATAGAGACAGCATGAGCAGGGGAGGGTCAGATAGAGAGGGAGTTACAGAATCCGAAGACAGCCTCCAGGCTATGAGCTAGCTGTCAGCACAGAGCCCGACACAGGGCTCGAACCCACGAGTCATGAGATCATGACCTGAGCCGAAGTTGGATGCTTAACTGACTGAGCCACCCAGGCACCCCAGGAAGTAACAATTTCTAGCCCTCCCTGAATTTTGTCATGGAAATCACCTTGTTATTTATTAATATCTCTTAAAGAGTAATTTAGATTTCATCTTTCTCCTTTGGCTCAGCCACCATACCCCCTCAGTTTGCACCTCCTAAATATTTGTTAGCATCTCTCATCCTTTAGACTCCTATTATCTATTTCCTTATGGGTGTATACCGTTTAAGAACATTTTACTGTCATTTTAGTGTCATTTACAAAGGAGACGCGATAATGCATGTAATCAATCTAATGAATTGTGTTATTTTCATCAAAATCATACAAAGAGGGATACTGTCAAATTATAAGAATGGATTTAATTTGGTTCTAGGGAGTAATCCCTAGCACTTCTTGCCTCTCTGTTTTATTCATACTTAGGTTTGGGTCATTTCTTTGACCTTGCCCTGTTGTCCTTACTTTCTCCAATGTTTTAATTTGCATCTGTTATTTTGCAGAGTATCAAAGTAAGCTGGCTGCCTCCTCCATCAGGAACACAAAATGGATTTATTACTGGCTATAAAATCCGACACAGAAAGACAACCCGCAGGGGTGAAATGGAAACACTGGAGCCCAATAACCTCTGGTACCTGTTCACAGGTCAGTGTTCACATAGTGTAGTCCTGCAAGGTTTTGATGAATTAAATGCTTTAGGAATAGAATATGCTCTCACTTCAAGGAAACATTCTTTTTTTTGTTTGTTTGTTTCCTGACAGGTGGCATTTATTGGTATGAACAAGAATAACCTTTATAATTTTAACCTGATATTCTTTCTAATGCTTTTAGTACATATTATGGTTGGATCATCCTCTTTTTTTAATCCATGTTAGTTTCTCAGCATTGTTAGTTTCTCAGCATTGCTTACTCAACAAGCCCCTCTTGTCAGATTACTTTTAACTTTTTAACTAGTAACTTTATTTCTTTAAAAAAAACTATGTTTTATTTATTTTTGAGAGAGAGAGAGACAGCATAAGCAGAAGAGGGACAGAAAGAGAGGGAGACACAGAATCCAAAGACAGGCTCCAGGCTCTTAGCTGTCAGCGCAGAGCCCGACGCAGATCTCAAACCCACAAACCATGAGATCATGACCTGAGCCTAAGTTGGATGCTTAACCAACTGAGACACCCAGGTACCCCATTAACTAGTAACTTTAAAAAGCTATCTGATTGGTGCCTGAGTGGCTCAGTTGGTTAAGCATCCTACTTCAGTTCAGGTCATGACCTCTGGGTTCATGAGTTTGAGCCCTGCACTGGGTTCTCTGCTGTCAGTGTGAAGCCCACTTTGGATCCTCTGTCTCCCTATCTCTTTGCCCCTCCCTTCTCTCTCTCTCTTTCTCTCTGTCTCAAAAATAAATGAATATTTTTAAAAAGCCATCTAATCAAATGGTTCCAAGTTTAAGTCACTTTGATCCCTTTCCCCTAACCTCCAGTGGTGATGATGGGGTTGGAAAATGTGGAGAGGGTAGTTTAGGAAATAAACAGATTACTCTACTTTCCGTAAACATAGAAGTAAATTCACTTGTGTAGCAATATTGATGGAATTCCTAATAGGTCAAGCTTCTTTATGAAAACTGGAGTATTCCAAGCAGTTTTCCATGCAGTATTTAGTGAATGTGTTTTATTTTACAAAATGAAAAGTAATGTATTTCTTTTAGCTATTAGAACCCTTAAGTCATGTCCATCAGTTTCTTAGAAAAATGTCTGAGGTACGCTTTCAAGGTAATGCCTCTGGGGGGTGCAAACCCAGGAAAGCACACGTGCAAGTGACCAGGGAAGAAGAGAAATCAGTAACAGTGGCCTATTATTGAGCTGGCCACAAGGTTAGAGCAAACACAAAATTTGCTCAGCCTCATAGGGTGTCTCCTGAGAGGCCGCATGAAGTACTATGTATCCTAGTCAGTGGCTGGATAGGAAATATGAGCAGTTCCTCTCTTGCCTATCATTGGTCAAAGTCTGTCAATAGGCTGTTAACCATTCTATACCTGCAGACAGCACCTAAGAAAGTAGAGTGTCCAAACATGGAATTCTCCCATGTCAGTAAGTCCTTAATGAGGCGGTGGCTTGGTCTAATGTAGCAACAGTACTTAGGAGGGCTTTATAGCTCTAAGGAGAGCATGAAATATTGCCTGGGCTTGGGACACAAAGCATATAGCAGAGGCTCTTGATAAGAATTGGGAGGGAAACTTAAGCAAATCTGGAGTGGCACATGAAAAGTGTGCAGGAAAACACACAAACTGAAACTCATAACTTACAGCAAATGGATAATAAAAACTATCACCATAAAAAAGGAAAGAAGAAAGTAACCCCTTCTTTCTTTCTTTCTTTATACCATATACTCAGTAAATTTCCATTTGAAATCACAGTTTAAGACCCACACATACACACACACACACACACACACACACACACACACACACACTCTAAGCTCCTTGTTCAGTCCTCACTCTGAGACTTGAGCAAAACCTGTTTTCCCCCTCAGGTTTGTTGTTGTTGCTGCTGCTGTTGTTGATGTTTGGTTTTTGGTTTTCTGTGTGTTTTTCTTATCTTTTGTGCTTATAAAATTTTAGCATAATGGTAAAAGTGCTTCCAAGGTAGGTGGTCAAAAATCACATTTCTTGTTTTATATCAGGACAAAATTCTCTTAACTAAGTATTATTGCCTGTAAGAGGAAGTTATGGCACTCTACCATATCATTTAAAAAGCTTTAAAAAAAGCTGAGATCTTATGTATTTTTTTTCCTGTTGAAATTATGAAAAGAAGGTAAAAATAAATGAAGTTGAGGTGAGGCATATGTGCTCAGTGTGATAATTGGTGTAACATGTACTTTATTTTGAAAGAAATCACCAAGATTGAAAAAAATCTTACTGAAAAAATTTTAGTATAATTCCTAAAATGGAATAGATGAAGAGCCTCTAAGAATAATTATATCCAAGACTTCCCTCCCCTCTGGTTTTACTGAGGTCTAATTGTCACATACCACTGTACAAGTTTAAGGTATACAACCTAATGGCTTCACTTATATTCATTGTGAAATGATTACCGCTGATAGTTTAGTTAGCAGCCATCAACTCATATAGATAAAATTTTAAAAAAGAAAAAAAAATGTCCTTGTGATGAGAACTCAGGATCCACTTTCTTAAAATTTTCATCTATACCATACAAAATAAGGAACACTTCATGAATTTGCCAGCTATCTTTCTTCAGGAGTCATGCTGATCTTCTCTTTATCACTCCAGTTTTAGTACATATGCTGCGGGAGCAAACACCAAGCCTTATTTTTTATTTTAATAGATGATGTTTTTTGAAGCTCTGAAACCTTTTTTTTTTTTCAATTTTTTTTCTTCTCAAACAAAAAAGATTAAAAATGTAAAATAAACTTTTTATACAATTATTCATTAAAGGATGAGTGTTCCGATGGAAAAGCTCAGTATTGGATATTCAACTTATGGAACTAAACTCATTAGTAGAGAAATGCATATTAAAACAAAAATGAGTTAGCATTTTCTTTGGATTAAAGTAATAAATATATAAATGAATGATGATACCCTGTTTTGGGAAGCATATGGGAAAAATAATGAATACTCATATACTGCTGCAGGCCAGAGGATTTTAGAATGTCTCTGGAAAGCAATGTGTAGATATTTGTTATAAACAGGCATGTGTGTGTGTGTGTGTGTGTGTGTGTGTGAGAGAGAGAGAGAGAGAGAGAAAGAGAGAGAGAGATCTTCATAGGTATATGATCTACTTTTTCTACTAGGAATTTATTCCAATTCTGCTGCCATATTTTCTGCAAAGTTTTTCACTATAAACAAGTTCATTGCACTACTGTAATAACAAATTAGAAGAAAAAAATACCCCAAGTATCCAAATACAGGCAGTTACCTAGAAAATTTAGTCAGATTCATATCAAGTAATACTTTTTTTCTATTGAAAATGATACATTGTAAAAATACTAAATCACATATTAAATATTTAAAACATGTCTTAAATAAATAACTCAACTTTAAATCAGTGCTAGTGTGTGAGTCCATATTTACAAATAAAAGAATATGAATTTGTAGGAAAATATGTAGAGTAATATATATCCCAAAATATTGATGGTGATTGTTATTTACACTCGTAACAGTAAAATACATATTTTAAAATTATATATATAACATGAAAAACTAAAAGTCAAGACTCTAATGTCATATTATGACTTTTTGTCACCAAGATTGAAAACTCCTGCCACTAAAGCTAACTCTATGCCCACTGAACTGCTAACAGGCAAATGGCCCTGAAAATAAATGAATAATAGTAGCCACCTGGCCAAAAAAACCCCTGCTGCCATGAATTGTTTAGCATTTATGGTATTTTTGGCAAATGGGATTTAACACTTTCAGCTCAGTATTATCAAACCAAGATTCTGACTCCCTAAATATACAAACTTTTAGGATTTTTCTCTCTACAGAAGTGAAATTATTAAAAAGGAAAAAAGAAAAGCCAGAGTCTGAAATAAAGGTGTTGGCAGCATTGATTTCTGTGGAGGTTCTGAGAGAAAAAACTCATCCATGTTTCTCTCCTAATCTCTGGTGTTTGCTGGCCAACCCTGACATTCCTTGGCTTCTAGGTTTGCCCCTCGTATCTCTGTACCACCTTCCTCTGTTGCCTGTGTTCTCTCCTTTTATAAGGACACCTGTCATTGCATAGACCCCACTCTAAATCAGGATGGTTTCATCTCAAGATCCTTAACTAATCATATTTATAAAGTTCCTATTTCCAAGTAAGGTCACACTCTGAAGTTCCAGGTATTCAGGAGTTTTGAGGTCGACACTATTCAAATTGCTTACAGACGCCTTTATTTTCCCTCTCAAGAACAATCATTTTTTAATTGTATTCTCTAATCAATTTTATTCAAAAATAAATAACTCAGTCCTATATTTTTCTTCATCTAAAATATATGGGACAATTAGAGCTTCTAATCAGCATTAGCTATAACCCATTACCACTCTGATTTAATAACATTCTGGCCAGAAGCAAAGAAATAGGATGAATTAATTAGCTTGTTATTGGAATAGCTCACAAATGCCCCTTCTCATCTTTATAGTTTTGTAGGAATCTGGACTCCAAAGTTGAATCCCTCGTTCATACTGTTCTTTCTTCATTTCAACAATTATAAAATGAATTTAGGGAGACAAACAATCTGGGCAATTATATTTGTTAAGTGTATCTGACATTTATTGTAAAAACAAAAGTCACACAGACTCCCTCCTTAAATTGAAATGACGAAATAAAAATTGCCAGAGAGCCGCATATCCTTAAAACATTAAAAACAAATTGTACAGAGTCTTTGCCTTCCTATCCCCTGATCTGTGACCCAACTCCAGCAGCGCTGTTGCACTGCTAGATATTGTGGAAGTGTCTTTAGCGGTACAGAGAATCAAGGAGCCCAGAAGTACTACACACTGGTAGTTTAGCTATGGTTTTGACTCATCCCCAGGATATATTTAGTAATGTATGCAATTTCTAGTTTACAGAAGTAATTGATTTTCGATATGAATCTCCAGCACTTTAGATTTGACCCCATGTCTCCAGTTCCTATATGGTACATGGATATATTGATTTGTCTGTTAAAAACTTGGAAATGCCAGAATGCTTCATTTGGATGATATAAATATTCAGGTATAGAGACCCAAACATCTTTTTGTACAATCCTCTGTCTGTTAGACAGGTGTTTTTTGTTGTGTGTGTTTTTTACTAGGATAATGAGACATCTGCAATAACAAAGTAATTCAGAGTTATAACAAGGATTTTAAATCATTGCTATCAGTTTCATTGTGGGGTCCCATGTCAACTACATTTTAAAGTGCTGTTTTTACTTTTTGAGTGCTCTTCAGAGAAAGTTGTTTTGAATTGAACTGAAGAGTTTTCTTGTGTTTCATGGCCAGTATAGAATAAACATAATGATAAACATGCATTGGCATTTTATGGACTGAAAAATGAAACAATTGAATTTTATAACAAGGTTAACATTAGGGGAATAATAGGAAATATATGTTATTTGAATAATGCACCATCTTTTAAATCCTATAAAATTAGAAATAGAAGAGAATTACAGAGATTGAAGGCACTTAGTATTGGGGATAGAAACAGGCAGAAGACAACCTTCTTTCAACAAATTATTTTTTCTTACAGCTAAGGAAAGCTTTGCTACTTACACCATGCTTTTTGTAGAATAAAATTATACTTAGAAGCAGGTAGGAAATGTACATGCACAAGCACACACAGGCACAAGCATCCACAGGTACAAGCATATACAAACACACGCCCACTCCCATATGCACATTGAGACTGAACTATTGGTCCCTGACAAACCACACAATTCATCTTATGTACAGCCCTTGTTTTACAGAAGAAGTAACTGAGATCTGAAGAGTGACATTGATCTACCACTAGTTAAGGAGGTAATCCCAACTCAACTGTAAGCATTTCAACTTTTAGTTATGTACTCCTTATACTACACAATATTGTCATCTTTAGATCACTGTATTGTAAATGACTCTGGCTATCATATGAATCTGTAATAGATCATTGGCATTAAAAATAGGGGCACCTGGGTGGGTCAGTCAGTTAATCATCTGACTTCGGCTCAGGTCATGATCTCACGGTTCGTAGGTTCGAGGCCCGTGCCGGGATCTGTGCTGACAGCTAGCTCAGACCCTGGAGACTGCTTCAAGTTCTATCTCTCTCTCTCTCTCTCTTTCTCTCTCTCTCTGACCCTCCCCTGCTCACGCTGTTGCTCTTTCTTTCTCAGAAATAAATAAAACATTAAACATTTTTAAAAAATAATTTAACGTTTACAACAATGGTAACACCGACATTAACTTTGATAACAGCCACTATATTGGAAATCGTATGGAGTTTTTTCAAAAAATTAAAAATAGAATTACCATATGATCCAGCTATCCCACTCCTGGGAACATATCCAAAAGAATTAAAATCAGGATCTGGTAGAGATATCTGCACTCGCATGTTCATTGTAGCATTATTCACAAGAGCTGAGATAGACAAACAATTCAAATGTCCATTTAAAAAAATTTTTAATGTTTATTTATTTTTGAGAGAGAGGCACACACACAATGTGAGCAAGGGAGGGGCAGAGAGAGAGGGAGACACAGAATCTGAAGCAGGTTCCAGGTTCTGAGCTATCAGCACAGAGCCCAATGCGGGGCTTGAACCCACAAACCATATCATGACCTGAGCCAAAGTCGGATGCTTAACCAACTGAGCCATGTATGTTCCCCTCAAATGTCCATTGACAGAAAAATGGATAAAGATGTGATATATATAAATAGACCATGGAATATTATGCAGCCTTAAAAAATAAGGAAATCCTGCCATTTGCACCAACATAGATGGACCTGGAAGACATTATGCTAAGTGAAATAAGTCAGTCACCTAAAAACAAATACTTCATGATTCCTTTTGTATGAGGTATCTAAAATAGTCAAACTCATGGAAGCAGAGAACAGAATGGTAATTGCAACGGTAGATGGTGAGAGTGAAATGGGAAGTTGTTCAGTGGGAATAAAGTGACACTTATACAACAGAAATAAATTCTAGAGATCTTTTATACAACATAGCACCTGTAGTTAACAGTATTGTATTGTGCACTTAAAAACTTTTAAGAAAGTAGATCTCATGCTACATGTTTCTAGCAGTAAAAAAAAAAAAAAAAAAAAAAAGACATAAGAAATCTTTTGGAAGTAGTGCATATGTTTATTACCTTGATTGTGGCAATGGACTCATGGATGTAGGCAATTGTCCAAACTCACCAAATGCATATATTAAATATGTCCAATTTTTTGGTGTATTGAGTATATATCAATAAAGCTGAAAAACCTCTATAAAAACACTTTATGTATATATTTCTTTTTTTTATTTAGTATTTGTAACAATTTTATGTATCTATTCCTATCTTGTTGATGAGAAAACTTAGGCAAAGAGGGGGGGTAAGCAAGTTTTTCAAGGTCACATACCTAATGAACAGTGAAGTAAAACCAAATATAATTCTGCCTGAACTGAAAACCTATACTCCTAGCTCTTAAACTGTAGATAATGTATTGCCAACCACAGATAATGAATGTGTGATTTTGTGTGTATAAATGGATACATAAAGTGGAATAAAGTGGAATAATGCACAATGAAAAAAGGTACCTGTTGGGTAATAAAAAATGAATACTACCTTAGTAGCTCAAGGAGCTACATAACTCTAGAAGAAATTAAATCAAAGCTTTCCTACCTACTTCTTTAAAAAAAAATGCTATTTAAAATTTCTACTGCCCCAACTCAGGAAATACATCTTAGAAAACAACGTTTAGAAATAGTCACACAAAAAACCTTTAGTTCCAGACAGACTTCCCTCTACCTGACCTTCAGTGAACAAATGAATAGAGAGAGAGAGAGAGAGAGAGAGAGATCGATCAATAGACACTGTTTTGAAAGATCTTTAGGTATCAGCTATCAGGATTGAGGCTCAAAAACTTGGTTATTCATGTTGATTGTTGTTATAACTTTTGAAGATACCTCCTCTTTCAAATGGGAACTTTTTTTTAATTAAGAGAAAAACTTTATACTGAATTTGAAGTTAAATTGAACTCAAGTTGATTCATTGTAAAAATTCTAGAATTCTCATTTCTTTCCTGCCTTCCTATTTATTTTTTAGTTCTGGATGTAATCATTTTAGATAAAAAATTCCTTGCATATTTGCTCCATGCTTTATATTTGCTTCTGATGTTCCTCTTAGGTCCCAGCCTTGGCCAGGTAGGTCTCTGAAGATAATGGTCTGTGGCTCCCCAGCAGGAGATAGGACAGAACCAAGAATCTTCTCCCAAAAGCACTCCAAATTGTGACTAGCGCCATGTAGTTGCTTGGTTTAATTTATCTCAGCCTTATAATTCTTATCTCTGAAGTGCGAGTAATAATGTATTCTATGGCAAAATCATAGAATATGTGAAAATCAAGTCAGAAAATAATTTGCAAATGCTATCTATTAAATGCCTGATTATATAAACTATTTTAAAAGCAGACTGGCATTTGATTCTCAAAAGAACATTATAAGATGGAAAAGCAGGTATTATTACCTAATTTATACGGGAAATTGCAACTAAAGGAGCTTTCAGTACATCTAAACTTGTCCAGCTAAGTACTCCTCACAACAAAGAAGCAGGATATTTGTAACCTAGATTTTTGAAGGTTATACCCAGAATGCCCCCTGAAAAGGTGAAATATCCAGGTCTACTTCTCACTGCATCCTACACTTATCTAGACATAGAAGAGGGTCGAAGTCTAATTCTGTTGGTAAAGATTTCAGAAGATAGAATCAGAAGACTTGGATAAAGATATTTTATTTTTATCTTTTCTAAGTTTTTTTAATGTTTGTTTATTTTTGAAAGAGAGAGTCAGAGCATGAGTGGGAGAAGGGCAGAGAGAGAGGGAGACACAGAATCCAAAGCAGGCTCCAGGCTCCGAGCTGTCAGCACAGAACCCAACAAGGGGCTCGAACTCACAAACCGAGACCATGACCTGAGCCAAAGTCTGACCCTTGACCAACTGAGCCACCCAGACGCTCCTTGGATAAAGATATTTTGAAAGAGGAATTTAGTTTTCTTTTATCCTTACAGTGTAAAACCAGGGTTTACTTGTAGATAATACTATAGTAAAGCAGATTCTGTGCAATCTTAGGAATAACTTTTCCAACAAGAGAAACGGTTGAGTACATCCCCTCCCTTGTTGAACTTCTCATTCCAAAGGTATTCCTGCTTTATCTACAGGATCACTTTAGTAGATGTATATCTAACTAGTTCTAGATGGGTCACTTGAATAGACATTAATTAAGATCCCTTTTGATATTGGGATTATATGTATATATTTAATCTTTTTTATATTTAATCTAGAATTTCTTAGTTGTTTCTAATGAGAACAGTTCCATAGCTATATCCTAGTATAAAATACAAAGCAAAAAACATGTAATATAAAATCTAATAGTTCAAAAAAATTTGTCAGGGGGCACCTGGATAGCTAAGTCAGTTAAACATCTGACTTCGGATCAGGTCATGATCTCACAGTTTGTGAGTTCAAGCCCCACATCGGTCTCTGTGCTGACAGCTCAGAGCCTGGAGCCTGCTTCAGATTCTGTGTCTCCCCCTCTCTCTGCCCCTCCCATGCTCATGCTCTTTCTCTCTCTGTCTCTCATAATAAATAAATGTTAAAATTTAAAAAAAAAAGAAAAAATTTGGCAGGATTTTCAAAGGGACGTAGGCAGGAATACATACAGCATGTTAAACCTTCACTACAAATGTCAGAGAGGATGATATAAACCATCTTCACTGGTTGGAAGGGCTATTCTGATCAGTAAATTAGGCTAGTCAGGCAAGACTCTATTGGGGAAATAGTTAATGGATGGTCTCTAAATCGCTTTATAATGTCACTTCAAAGAATTGTTAGTAGGTTTTTGTTTTACTCAAGACTGATTTAGTGATACTGACAGATCCTCAATGCAATATATGTAAATAAAAATTTGACAAAATTTTAAGAAGTCTTTCTCCTTTCTAGTAAGGTATTTTACTACTCATATCTGCTTTCTAGTGAGATGTTTTAATAAATATCTATTAAAAGTTGATAGATTCTGCACACAAAAAGTAACTCCATTGAAAGTCACATGAATGAAACAGAATATAGGGCATTCAAACAGATTCCCATGTATATGTCAAAACCTTGCATATGATAATACGGTGGGTCATTCAGGGTTCAGTCAGAGAATCAGAACCTGTGGCGATGTGTACTAAGGCATCTATTACAAGAAATTGGCTTAATTGGTTATGATGCTAGCTATGCAATTCCAAATCCACAGAGGGAGGTCCTAAGGAAAGGCAGGTTGAAACTCATGGGCTAAAATTGCTGTCTGCAGGTGAAATTTTCTCTTCAGGGAAGCCTTTGGCTCTTAAGATCTTTAACTGGTTTGAATCTGTCCCCGTCCCCAATTATCTAAGATATCCTTTGCTTAAAATCAACTGAATATGGACTTTAGTCACATCTATAATATTCCTTCACAGCAACATCTTAGATTAGTGTTTGATTGAAAACTGGGGACTTTAGTCTAACCAAGTTGAATAAAACTGACCAATACAAACTGAATTCCTAATCACTGCTGGAAACGGTATTAACCTAATTGCCTATCTATTTCAAAGAAAAATAAAATTAAACTTCTACTTAATATAAAAGAGTATATTCTTGATAGTCTAAAACTGTCAGATAAGACTACTATAAAAGCCACGAGGTACAATGATTAGGTAAGCATTTCTTCCCAGAATTATCTCCCTATTATTTTTAATTTCCTAGAAACTACAATCAATCCACAACCCCTCTGCCTTAGCAATCAACAGGGGTGCCTATGAAAGGGTGCAAAATGTTAACAAATTCAGATCAACATCATGTGAACTAAGGGACAAACTTATGGAGCCACAACAAAGGCCTTGTGTTCAAAAGCATCCATTTGCCACCCCTCTTGGATATTATACTTTAACCTAATATTTTGGGATATGTTAAGTGCTACTTTAGTGAATTGATCAAAAGCTGCTTTGCAGGTGTGCCTTCCATGTGTCAGGCAGTATAATGGGATCTATGAGTATATAGATAAAATACCAGTAATAATGAAAACAGCAACAGTAGTAACTATTCTCAGTCTACTTCTTTATGGAGCTTCTAGTCTATTTTATAAAATTAGAAGCCTCTTAAGGAGACAAGATTTTGTGTCATAGATACTTTTGTGTGGGTGAGTTTATCAAAGTGTCTTCTCTAATAGTATAATTTATTGAAGGTAACTGCTATGGACATTAACAAGTCCACCTAACCATCACTTAAAGCATTATCTCCAATTAATAATAAATTAAAATTCTCCTTAAGACCAAGATTTACTCATCTGCCTATGCAAAAATCTACAAATACGTAACTGTGTACACAATAAGCATCATTTCTCCAATGGGTTTTCCTTATGAATTTTTCTTGTTAGCAAATATTTGTGCCATTTTAGATTAACAGAAAATACAGATTGTAATTTAAATTTACCAGTTGTTCAACTTTGGAGATTTAAGGAAGGACTTGTCAATTTAAGCCAAGTCCTCAATGTCTCAAGAAAGTCACGTGGTTTGTTTTACAATACTTTGTCATGGTAATAAGATGCTTTCAGATTTAGCTAAAAGGACTGTTACTTATATAAAAATTTGTACATATCACACTAATGATCCATGGGCCATCTTTCACCAACCTGTATTGTCTGTGCTGTCTAAAATAAGCCCTGATATACAATATTATATGCCCAAGTTATCATGGAGATAGACTTTCTTTATGCTTCTAGTATGGACAGTGATGCAAAACAAAGTATGCCTTGCAATGAAAGGCCTAGTATTTTCTGCTTAAGTGCAGTGGCTTTGGATTCTTCTTTCTTGGCCCAAGGAAAACGTAATCACTGACCTTGAATAAATAACAGAGACATAAATTTTTAGGATGACTGTTCTTGATTTATAGACAGGCCTCTTCTAGGCTCTGAGAAAAAATGATCCTTGCTATTTTTGATTATTCCTTCATCGTTCATATTTTATATTCTGCATCTACCCTGAAGCCATTTTTGGGGATACATTTTTATAAGCTAGGAAAAAATAAATGAGAATATGTGAAAAATAATTTGATTTCTTGCTGTGCTATTTCTGCCCTTTTGGCCAAAATAATAATAATTACCACAACAATCACAAACTATGTGAAGATGTCTACTGATTTTGAAAACTTCTGAAAATAAGCCAGCAGTACTGGTTATTCAATAACTTTTTTTCCCCTTTCTGGGAAAATTCTCTTATAGGACTGGAGAAAGGAAGTCAGTATAGTTTCCAAGTGTCAGCCATGACAGTTAATGGCACTGGACCACCTTCCAACTGGTATACAGCCGAGACTCCTGAGAATGATCTGGATGGTAAGACCTATCCCAATAACTGTCACTTTGGTTTATATTTTCTTTGTTACTTCAACTTCAAAGGTTCCCTTATTAGAAGTTGATGAATTCCAACACTGGGGATATTTATTCCTCCTATATCCTTCAGTACAAGACAAAACAAAATAGAAAATAGAAAATCCTCAGTAGAGTCTTCAACAATACCATATAAAATTATGCTTTAATTATAGTCCTCATAAGTTATTTTTTCAAGATAATTTGAAATGATCTTTTTAAAATTTATCTTATTGAATAATCAACCTTAAAATTTGCTTCATGTGAATTGCTACAATTTCTGATAGTAATCATGAAATATAATTACTTTACCCTTGCCCTTTTATGATGCATCTGCAATACAGCAATATATATTTTTTTGTTGCTTGTGATATGGTCATTAATATTTGACATTTCATTTTTTTAAACAAGAAACAATCTGCCTTATTTACTTAATTGGTAGTTGTCTTAAGATATTTGTGGATGAGATACTGAGGTTTGTATAAAAGTCACATATCAGTAATTTAAATATAAGTAAAATCATCAAATATAGCAGACGAGAAATAGTTTTTGAAATAAAAACATCATGACTAATAGGAAAACAAAATTCAAGAGAAATGGGTAATAGAAGCAACAGAAAAAAAGTCTAAGTAATAAAGCAGAAATATACGATAAAGAATTAGAATTATAAATTAAAGAAGTAGAAATTTATGAAAAGAAGAGGTACTTGAAAAATAAGTTAGTTATGATCAGTACACTTAAGCTACGTGATGAAAACTGAGAACAAGAAAAAGTGGCTAAACAAAAAAAAAATGTATATGTTGAAAATGAGACTGTCTAAATCACTGACCATCAAATCCTCTTATTTCTTCACTGGTAGACCTCAAAGCATCCAAGTTACTGCGAAATGAAACATTCTATGTCCCTTCCCCTCTGTCTGTTTTGCTCTCTCCCCCCTTCCCTCATTTTTATTCTTGTTCTAGTTCTTGCATTGTCCTCTCTCCAGTTTGTCCCCCCTTGTTCCTTGAACCCCTCCTTCTTATTTTTCTCTTTCTTGATCTTTCCTTCCTCCAAGTAATTCACTATCACTCATGATCTTCCTATAGTCATAGATTCTGCTTTACAAAATAATTAATATGGCGGTGAAACAATAACAATTGCCATTTCCACAATAATGGTAATTCCTACCATTTGACAGCATATTAAAGAATATTCTCAGGAAATTTACTAAGACCCAAGCACTGAGGGTATAATAGTGGGTAGGAGACATGATCTTCTCCTTGTGGAGTTTAAAGTGTAGCAAAGAAAAACAGACATTCCAGGTGAAGTCATAGAAAATTCCCATTTCATAGTTCAAACCTGCTTGAATATTGGAAATATCCTGTCTATCACCATAGAATGAATAGATAGATTGATAGACAAATAGACATTTAGAAGGCTTGCATTTAAACTGAGACTGGAAGGAGGAATAGGAGTTTGGAGTGCAAAGCAGACATTACAAACTGAGGGAGGAAGCATGGAGGGCAAGGTGAATGCAGTTCTGAAGTCAAGATGGACCATGATACTATTTGAGGCCTGAAAAAAGACCATCAAGACTAAAACACAGAGATGACATGTGTTGAGGTTTGTAAGATAGCAGGTTCTAAATTGGGCAAGACCAAATTAAGGATTTTGAACTTTGTCCTAAGAATGTCATTAAAGCAATAACGTGCTTCATCCTAAGCAAGTCATTACAGGATTTTTTTAAAATAGTGACTTAATTATATTTGCATTTTGAAGAGATTACTCTGGCTGAAGCATTAACAATTGAATTAGATTAGACAACCATGGGCTAACTCAGGACAACCTTAGAGGTAATGCTAGATTTCTTTGGGAAAGTAACTTGGGGCTTAGAAGATGTTACTTAATTTGTCTTCATCATTATAAACTGAAAAGTTGTGGAGCTACAAAAAGTCACACTTCATAAAGTATATGTCCTTCACGAATAGATTAGGGAACATTCATGTATTTACTTATTCAACATACATTTCTTTTTGAAGATTTATATACACCAGGCATTATTTTAGGTACCAGGGGTAAAGCAATAAATAAGGTCCCTAGTCTCAAGGGGTATAAATTTTATTGAGATAGAGATGGATAATGATAAATGCTCTGAAGAAAACTAAAGCATGGAAGAGGCAATAGCAAAAGATTAGGGAGTTTTAAGTAGGGTATTGAGAGAATCTCTCTGATTAGGTAAAATATGAGCAGAGATCTTAAGGCAGTGAGGGAGGCAGCCATAGGAATAGGTCAGACAAGAGGCCTCCAGCCAGAAGAGCAAAAACAGACATCCTGAGGCTGAAGCCCAATTGTTAGCTGAAGTATGGGGAGGAGGTCAGGGTGGCTGGGTGTAAAGTCATGATGTTGTGCTCTGCTTTATTTAAAGAATAAAAGGACAATTCTGATAAGCTACATTATACCTTATTTTTCTATTTACTTGAGAAATAGCTTTTAACATTTATATTACTTGTTCTTAATCCTCTCATTTACCTTTATGAGGTATATATTATTAGCCTTATTTTTAAAGGACAGTAACTCAGGCTAAAAAACTTTAACTAACTTAATCAAATAACTAAGGTAGTAATTGTGGATCTGAAACTCAGGACCAGGATTTTTACATCATATGTCCAATACAGATCATTGGAGCAAATCCTCCACTAATCCTCTAGAACTGACCCAGTGACAATAAAAGACAGTGATTCAAGGCAGAAGATTCTAAGAAATGAGGTCATATCATTTACCCAAACTTAAGGAACTATATCTCTTACTGGAAGGAGTGAAAATAAATGGAGCAGAGGTGCCGAAGGTCCTATAAAATATCCAGGATGAATGGGGCTCTCCACTTGACTTATGTGCTCTTCCTTCTCACTCCAATTGACTCACAATCTAGTGGAACCAAAATGTAAAATCACAGCCCCTCAGATGGCACAAAACTTCTATTTAACTGTCTGCTTTTCATACTCATGCAATCTTAATATAATCCAATCCATACATCTGTTTTAATCAAGAATCTCTATGCTCTGTTCATGAATAGAGTCTTAATAAATACTGTTTAATTGGATTTGTTTGAACATCTCTATACTGTTGGCTTAATAATGCCCCTCTTCTGCATGTAACATTCTTGCTTACTTTTTCCTTTCTTGAGTATTGTTGCATTTATTATGAAATATAATTAAGAACCTATAGTGGGCCCAGTCATGGGAAATACAAACATAAAAGAGATAGGAATAGTTATCTTCAGAGATAAACAAATAATGACTGCACAGATTGAAAACACTTCATGAAAACTAAAAGTGCTTGAACTAAAGACTTCAGGAAAAGAAGGTTGACTAAGATCACAAGGAGGGTGTATAGGCCAGCATAGTAGATATTCTTCAAATAGAATGCCTTTAGGAAAATTATTTCTGCCATGATTAGTTTAAATGCGTTCTCACTCATCCAAGTGCTACTCATTGACCAGTCGATTATCTTAACACATTTCAATACATTTCAAATAAAACCCCCTTTCTCATTCTTTCACTTCTTTATTTGGATTATAGTTACTCAGACATCAGTGGAACTGATGCTTCTTGTACATTATACTGTTCTAGATTATGGCTTGAAATTGTTCATTCTTTTTTTTGTTTTTAAATAGTTTATTGTCAAATTAGTTTCCACATAACACCCAGTGCTCATCCCCACAAGTGCCCTCCTCCATGCCCATTCCCCTCCCCCCCACATCCATCAGTCCTCAGTTTCTGTCAGCATTCAAGAGTCTCTCATGGTTTGCCTCTCTCCCTTTCCTCCACCATTTCCCCCCTTCTTCTCCCCCTTGTTCCTCAGTTAAATTCCTCCTAATCCTCCTATACGTGCAAACATATGATATTTGTCCTCCTCTGCCTGACTTATTTCGCTCAGCATAACACCCTCAAGGTCCATCCATGTTGCTACACATGGCCAGATTTCATTGTTTCTCATTGCCATGTAGTATTCCATGGTATAGATAAACCACATCTTCTGGATCCATTCGTCCGTTGATGGACACTTAGGCTCTTTCCGTGTTTTAGCTATTGTGGAGAGTGCTGCTATGAACATTGGGGTACTTGTGCTCCTATGCATCAGCATTTCTGTATCCCTTGGGTAAATTCCTAGCAGTGCTATTGCTGGGTCATAGGGGAGTTCTATTGTTAGTTTCCTGAGGAACCCAAAGCATGATAGAAACAGCCATTTTAGGGCATTAGCTATATGAGTGTGGACAGATATGGCTCAATTGCTTTGTATAACAGTGCTTTATCAGCTGTAAGAAATTAATAGAATCACACATAGTTGGTCCTAAGACATTTTTAGTTTATTGACCCATAACCTCTTTTCACTGATATTCCTCTAAACTGATTTCAATTTCTCTTCCTTCCCTTTGTTTTTCTTATTTTAATGCATCATTCAAATATTAAAAAGTGTTACCCTTGTTAGGAATCAGTATTTGGACAAATGGGCAATCTCAGAAGTGGTCTTAAGTAGTTCCAAAGAATACACAGCCTGATGACTTGTTCTGTTTCCATATGTAGATGCAGAAATATGAATATAAAGATATGTAAATATATATTTAAGTTAAGGGAAATTTCTTTAAATATTCATCTCATTTTCTTTAACTTTAATGTTTCTTTATATTTGAGAGAGAGAAAAAACCAGTAGGGGAGGGGTGGAGACAGACAGAGACAGAATCTGAAGCAGGCTCCAGGCTCTGAGCTATCAGCACAGAGCCCTGTGTGGGGCTTGAACTCACAAACCGTGAGATCATGACCTGAGCTGAAGTCAGATGCTTAACCAACCTAGCCACCCAGGTACCCCAAAATGTTCATCTCATTTTAACTCATTCATGTAAATGTTTAAATTGTAAAATAAGATACAAATAGCTTCTACTATAGCTTCTAGGCTCATGTAGGAAAGTTTTGAGTCCTGAAGTAAGAAAT